TTACCCCACAGCTTGGTGTCATCAGCGAACTTGAACAGGGTGCTCTCCACACCCTTGTCCAGGTCACTAATGAAGATGTTGAACAGCCATCTTGGAAGTGGAAAAAATCCAAATCATATACTAAAAATCAAACATCTAATATAAAATATTTTAATTTTATTTCAAAAAATATTTTTGTCCTGATATATGTGTGGTTGTATAGTGTATATAGAGGCAATTGCAAAATAGCTCAAAATGAAGTCTTATTCTTGTATGGGGGAGTGTGGGGTATGGTTGGGTGTAGGTGTACATGTGTGTGCTGTGGGGTTTGTGGGAGGGTGTGGCAAGTCCATGGGGGGTTGCTTGTGGGATGTGGGGGTTGTGGGTATGGCAGAGTGTGCACGTGGGGCCCCACACCCCTCCCCCATGATGCACATCCCCTGTTCCTGGCAGCAGTAGCAGCAGGTTCTTGGGGTGCTCATGGCTCATGCAGGCAGAGCCCCCTGGTAGCACACAGCTCTGTCCAGTTCTGGGATCTGCACATTATGGCAGGCAGCAGAGCCAAGCCATCTTGCCTTCATCTCACAAGGCAACCTGTGTTCTGCATGCAGCTTTCGGAACCCAGCCAGAATGACACATCATAGCTGGGGGTGGGGGGGGTGCATAATGGAATCAATGCCTTGGCTCCGTTTGCTTCCACCACATGCACCTCCTGGGACTCCAGTGGCAGGAAGCCCCACATGATGGAGCTGGGCCAACCCAGCCTCCATGCTCCTGCTGCCCTGACCCTACGCTCTACACTCCCACCCAGCTGCAGCTTCTCCCCACCCACCTCCACTTTCCTACCTGCTGCCTGGAGTGCTGCAGCAGGGACAAGAGGAGGAGCCACTGGAGGCCAGGGGAGCTGAGCAGCAGCCCTGCCCTGAAACTGTGCTGACCAGGGCCGGGGCTGAAGCCTGGGCCCTCACATGCACAAGGGTGGGAGCACAGCATGCTGCCCCGGCAGAAGTGGGCAAAGCTAAGCCCTAGGCAGGGCACAGCAGGGCAAGCTGTGGGCTAGGCTGGATACAATTAATTGGTGGGCACCTGCCCATGTGCCAGATGAAATCACCTGAAAGGCTGGATGTGGCCTGTGGGTCATATTTTGTTTGCTCCTGTGCTAGACTACTTTATCAGATGCTCTGCATGGATTTCCATCGAGCAGGGGTACTAAATAGAAAGGAACAAGGGTATTTAAATAAAGGATAGGGAAAGGGGAGAAAAGGAGCACTCCCTCCTTCCCACATAGTGAAAATGAACTAAAATTTTCTGCAGAGGCTATAGTACAAGAAATTTGCTTATAATTTACCATATTGACTTGAATCTAAGATAAGGGCTTTTCACCCATTTAGCAAAGGAAAATATCCTCATTTTAGATTCGACTAGGAGCCAGACAAGCAGCTGATGGCAGTTCTGGATGGGGCCGGAGTGGTTCATGCAGCAGGTAGGGGGTGCATGCAGTAGGGAGAGCATGAAGGAAGGAGTCACATGGTGTGGGAGGAGAGTGGGGAGAAAACGGTGCATGGTGTGAGGCAGAGTTTCAGAGAAAGGGTATGCGGTATATGAGGGAGAACAGGGGAAAGAGCATGTGGTACAAGGAAGGGTGTGGGGGAAAGAACACAGGGAAGTGTGTGTGCAGTGTAGGCAGGATAGTGGGGGAAAGGGCATGCAGTGCTGGTGGGAGCATGGGGGAAAACAGCATGTTGGGGGGAGCACAGGGAAGGGGCACGGGAAAAGGGACATGGGGACCAAGGTGGTCATGGGGGAAGGAACACAGGGAAGGGACATGAGGACCCATGGGGGGAGCTGCAGCTATTGCTTGGCCTGGCCGGGGGTGCCATGCTCCTGGTCAAGACAGAACCAGAGTAGATAAAAATATAAGGGGTGGGTGGCAGGGAAGGCACCAAAGGAGGACAAGTGGCAGGGGAGGAAGGCACTGGAGAGAACAGGTAATAGCAGGGCATGCACAGTAGAGCAGAGAGGGAATGACAATGGAGGGACAAGGGGCATGGGGCACCACTTTCCTTAACAGTACTTTTCCTGCAGCAGTGGTGGGGGAGAGGAATTTAAGAGGACCCTCCGATAGCTAGATTCTAGCTGTGGAAAATGAAAACAAAATTATCATTTTCTATATCTAGAATCTACTATCTAGAATTTAATAATTGGGGGATCATCTTAATTTTGAAGTCATCTTGGATTTGGGTATATATGGTAGTTAGGCTTTTCACTCTCTATTTAATACTATCTAACATTTTTATAATTACAAGGTACATAGACAAGCAGAATTAAAGTCATCCCTTGAAAAATGCTAAACAACTTATGATAGGAAATGCAGTCTTGCTTGCATAATAGATACTGATTTTTTTCATCTTTTTTTCTTTTGAAACTTCATTACCAATTTCAAGTTACACATTTCTTGAGAGATTTATTCTTCAGTCTCTCTCTCAAGCATAATAACCTATTTCTTTCCTAACGCCATGTTTTCTATTACTAATACATATATATAATGATACAATGCTGGCCATAAAACAATAAGTGGGCAAAAATACATTAGAAATGTGAGCCTTTCTTTCACAAAGCTACCTGAGCTTCTTCTTGTTGCTTTTTCAGCTGTTCAAGCATCTGCTGAAATTCAGCCTCTTTCTGTTCTGCTTCTTCTTGGGTTGCTTGATTCTGTTCATCATAGGCCATGGCAACAACAGCAAGGATCAAGTTAATTAGATAGAAAGATCCCAGGAAAATCACCAGAACAAAAAATATCATGTATGTTTTGCCAGCAGCTCGTAGGGTCTGGGGGAAAAGAATGTGCATAATTAAGAATGACACAGCACCATTTTCAAATAAAACTAACTTGATTAGAAGAGCATACATCTATCAAAGATGGAATTATTTTTGTGTTTGGAACAGGATTGTATTTGTGTTGTAAATCAAAAGAAAAATGAATGTCAAGCATGAACATGTGAAAGCGCATGTTCATGAGAGAGATGAGAGACTGTGTTACTCAAGATTGTTTTACCCTGGGAGGAAACTGTTTCAGTGTAAAATAATTTTGAAGAGGAGAAAAAGTTTAACACACACTTATATTACATGTTGGAATTATTGGCAACAAATTTTTATCAATTGTGGCTTTCTCTTTGACCAGCCAGGAGATTTAAAACTACCAACAGCAGCACATAAAAAGTAGATCTTAGTTTATTGCAAGAAGAAACACCAAACAGGATTCAAGGTATTTAACTTTGGGATGATACCTTTTGCAATCATGACTAAGATTCACTATACATTTAAAAATAAATGCACTATTACAGTTCTGATTGGAGTACTGCCTCAAATGAAATTTCTGTAATAATGAAATAGACACCAAAAAGCTTCTGTTTAACGGTTTAGAAGCCATTTCAGATCCTGCTTCAAGATTCTGTATGATTCTTCAGTTCTTTGAGGAATCTTTTCTTCCTTTAAACAATTCTCAAAAACATGTCATGTCTGTGTTATATACTAGCGAAATACATTGTTCACAGTTGATTTTAGACCTTTCACTATATCCTCACCAGCTGATAAAGGTTTTCCCAGTAGTCTTGAGTCATCAAACGAAACAGTGACAAGAATGCCCAGCTGAACGTATCAAAGCTTGTGTAGCCATAATTGGGGTTTCTACCAGCTTTCACACAAATATAATCTTCTGGGCACTGACTAAGGGAAGGGGAAAAAAAGAAGAAAGGAATACATCTTAAATTAGGGTTTTTTTTAAAAAAAAATGGTAGAAAATAAAATGTCTTTGAGTTATCAACAGATTTTTTAAAAGATTCACTAATTCTTATTAATCAATGGAGGCAGCTCACTGTGGATTATTAAATTTTCAATTTGCAAGAAAATTAAGAGAATTGGAAAGAAAAATCAAAGACACTCTCACAATCCCTCTCCTCCTCACAGAAAAGATGGATCAAGTTTCTTGACAGCTTGTGGCTTAGTGAAACTGAAATTCTACTCCTGCTATATCAGAAATGAAGGGGAAAAATCCAATTTAGCCATGAATTTTCTTTCTAAACCTGTATATCAATCTCACAGCAGGTTCTTCTCATATCCCTGGGTCCTGAAGTCAGACCAGCTCTTTATGAACCTGTAGCGGGACTGTTCTAGAGCAGTGGTGCCCAAACTTTTTTCCTGGTGGGCCAGATGGGCAGTGTGCTTGATCCCTCTGCAGGTCAGGTCCAGTTGGTGGTCCCAATTCTGTGCCAGGGGTAGGCACAGTGGGCATCATCCAGCTTCAAAAGCAGATGTGGGGGGCAGGCTAGCCCCAATGCAGCCCCACAGGGGAAAGGAGCTTGACCCAGCCCCACAGGAGGAAGCGGGCATGGCCCGACCCTAACCTGGCTCCATGGGGGTGGAGGGGTTGTAGCTGAGCCCCAACCTGGCTCCACAGGGGATCAGGGGGCATGGCCCAGCCCTGGTCCAGAAGCAGAGGAGAGGGAGTGTGAACCAGCTTTACTGGGGAAGGAGGCATACGTGGGGTATGGGAATCTGGCAGCAGGAGAGGATGGCCACTTTTCCCCTGCTGCCAAATTTCTGGACACACAAAAATCCCTGTGGCCCAGATGAGATGGCTTCATGGGCCATATTTGGCCCACAAGCTGGAGGTTGAGCACTCCTGTTCTAAAACAAGACTTTCCAAACCTAAAATATACTGGCTATGTAAAAGTTTAAATATCCATTTGCAGCACAGCCTTGTGCATGGAATTTAAGAATTTTTAAATAAATAGATTCAAAGTATTTAACAAATGAGCAAGAGCTAAGAGGAAATAATCGGGACAAAATTGAGTCCTTGAAGTAGGGTTAGACAAGGAGGGTCCTGATAATATCAGGGATAAATTTGCAGAGATGACAGTATTGGCTCTTAGCCAAGATATGTTGTGTACTGATTCTTTACTGATTTATTTGAATGTCAGGCTGGAAGTGAAGCAAGAACTGGTCAGGGTATCCCTGCATGATACTAACTACCACAGAAGCATAATCAGAGTTGACAAATCAGAGACCTATTCTTCTCCCCTAAATTTCTTCCTTGACGATGACTAGAACAACCTAGAGTTTTATGCTGACTAAAATCAGTTGTTGTCCTTATTTGCTCAAAATCCTGTTTCCTGAAAGCATGATGCATTTATCTATGAAGGGAACTTGATGAAACATGTTTCTCTCTAACAACCGAACAAAAGGAAAATAGTCTTTTATCATATTGAGTAAATCTCCAAGAAGTTTATCTTTACTTTCTAAAGTCTTGGGGAGACAATGAGGAATGGTTTTCTGGATCCGTTTATGAACTTACTGAAAGACCAGAACAGAGAGTAGCCTGAGTTCAATACCAAAGAATGAGTATTTCTTATGCATTTTTTCAAGTATTTGTCTCTTTATGGTACTGGCTGTATTCCTCTGATGCACCAGAGGAGGACTACTGTATTTTCCCTACTTTGATGGCATAAACATTATTTTTGTTGTTGATAACGTTGCATTGTTTTTATAACTTTGAGGAAGAATAATACTTTTCTCTGGGACAAGAAGCAAATTCTATGGAATATTCTTCTCTGATTAAAGTATCCCACTGTTTCCTAAACTTTGCAGATTTTGCCCCACCATAGCAGGGTGGCCACTCTTATGCCCTACTCTACTTAAATTGCATCCTGGGAATCAGTGACAGTCGGTGGTGAGGGGATTCAGCCTTCACTACTTATTGCTGCCAGCTCACCCCATTTTTGACTGCTGCCAGTTCTAGAGAAGCTCAGCCTAGGACTTTCAATTTTCAGAATGGGCTGCACGTACTTTTTCCAATACCTAATTTCTATGGTGGCTCCAGAAGGAAAATCAGCAGCTAATGAAGACACAAGCATGTTGAGATTCTCTGGCCAAGAAGAGGGCATGAACTTTTTTCCTCTGTTCTGTTCACTGCTTTCAGTCCCTGCCTGCTTCTGAACATCTGACCAGTACACAGAGAGGAGATAAAGCCCCAGGCCATTATACTAACAGTTTTATATTTGTAACAGAGCTGAACAACGCATTTAGTTAGTGTTATTATAAGGCATACCCATGTCTAGAGCCAACTATAAGTAAGGGAGCAATCATTATTGCTGCTTTTGCTTTCCCTGGCTGAATGACAAAATCCCCATTTTCAGCTGGATCAACTGGTGTTCGTTTTTAATGGGTGTCCAGAGTGCAGTCTAAATTCATAATTTCTGGAGCGATTGCAGGATGCCCTGACCATTCTGTCTGGCTTCCAAAAGGAATGGTGCAGGCATAAAGGCTATCTAAAAGATACACCTTGACAAATTTATGAATAAGATTATGAGATATAGTTGCCTGGGTAACAGGCTAGACTCAGTTTCCCAGAGATTCCCTCCCCTATGTTCTTTTTTGTAACCAAGTTTTATGTAAGTGATAATCTTATTTTCCTATCTATAGATTTAGCCAAAATGTTCCTTGTGTATATGACTGCCCTTTACTAAAATATCTGTAGCAGCCTCACTCTTAGGCAAACTGGTTGCATTTTTAGTCCATAAAGAACAACAAGAATTTCCCAAAATTGCATTCAGCCTATATTAGTTATTCTTATTGTGTTGGCTTGTCTACACTAGACAGTTTTGCCATGTTAAACTTTTCAAAATAAATAAGACTGGTATGATTATATGGGCAAACCAACAAACTATTGTGAGTGAAAGGAGAGGGGGGAATTACTTTGGCACAACTGATATACAGTAATTCTTCATGCACTTCTCTTACCTGATGGTAACAGCTTAGCCAGGGCACTTTATCTTTCAAGAGAACTTCTCAATGAAATTACACTGGTTTAGCTTTCACTGACTGTAGGTCACCTGAACAGTTACCATGTCATCTGCTCTGAGATGATTCCTTCTCTTCCCACTTTTCACTTACTGTAAATGTGTTTTAAAGCACATTTAACCAATATACTTGTATTCGTGCTAGGGCTATACTGGTATGACTGTACTGGAAAAAAACCCCACAAACCTACTCAACACAGTTCTGCCAGGACAATTTTTCTAGCAACCTGTTTGTTTTGTTTGGTTTTTGAAAAGCCTAAGAGCCTGCGATACTCACCATGTCACAAACATGCTCATAGCACCTCATGGTGAATTGCATCAAAGGCCCTGAAAAATCTAATAAGATCAACAGGACACAATCTCCTCACTGACTGCTAGGTACAGGACATCAAGCAAGGTTACAAAAGCATGTGTCCATGCTACACACAAGACAAAAGCCAGGAAGACAGGGATCTAGAATTTTGATAACATGTGGGTAAGCCTGGAGCCATTCATTGAACTTCCACAAGTTTTGGAAACAAGGCAATAACTGACTGGAAAATTGGCATCAAGAGATGGCTTCTTGAGTAAGGGCTGGACAATTCCAGACTCCAGAATGCAATTCTGAAGGGAAGCCTACTAATAATGGTCTCTGACTCCTTTAGTTAGCTTTTACAAGTTGGAATAGACACAGTTCCAGGTCAAAACTAGTGGCTTGCATCCCCACACAAGCTCATCTGCATCAGTGCACAATAACAACTGAAACTGATTTATATAAACCAAACAAAACTGAGCTTCCCTAATAGGGCTGTGTGAAGCTTTGGGTGCTGGTTCAATTAGGAGGAGATATGGCCCAATTCAGCAGCCAAATCTCCAAATCCAAATCGAATTGGGAGACCAATAAAAAGGTCCGAATTGATTTTGAAGCCTCCAAATCAATTCGAAAAAGATTTGGGAAAGATTTGGAGATTTGGGCAGTCCCCGCTTCTTGCCACAGGGAGCTGGACCTGGGCTCTATGCCAGTATGTAAGGAGACGGAAGAGGAGGGGGGACAGAGGCCCTGGAAAGAGGAGGTGGGGACCATGGGGGACCCCCGCTAGGTCCCATCCCCTCCCTGTTCCCCCAGTCTCCCTGAGTGCCTCCCAACCCCTGGCTGCTCTCCCAGCCCCATCAATGACTGCCCTGCCCAGCCCCAGCATCCCAGCACTTCAAAAAAAAAATTTCTTTTAAAAGCCTTGGCTCCTGGCTCACTGGCTCCTGCCAGGCAAAGGGGCCATCCCCACTGCCCCACGCTGTGCTGCATTGCGTGGGGGGCTCTGCCATGAGCTCCCATCTCTTCCCCTCTCTCCCAGCCCCATCAATGGCTGCCCTGCCCAGCCCCAGCTTCCCAGCCATTAGAAAAAAAAAAGAAAAAGCCCCACGCTCACCAGCTGCTGCTGTAGCTGTCAGGGCTTCTGGGAGCTCATGGCAGAGCCCTCCTCATGCACCATGAGGCAGTGGGGGGCAGTGGGGATTGCCCCCCTTTCTGGCAGG